GGGGGGGTTGTGGGGTTTTTTTGGTGTGTTTTTTTTGGGGGGGTGCTTTTTATGTCCCCTTCATTCTGTGTGGACCACGGGCTTACACACGCTTTCTTTTGCCACTCCACACGATATCTTCTGCTGAAGAGGGAATTCTCTCCAAATAGAAAAATTAACTCCTGTTATCTGGCGAACTCGTGAACATGTAAGCCTATCTCAATGACACTCGTTCTGTTTTCAACAAGCTCGACTGGACCAAGGGAGATCACCCGCAAAGATACACGCCTCAGTAGTGGCTGGTGAAACCTTCTGGGATTTACGACTTTGTGTCTCCACCTTGTTTGTTCAGGGTCTGTCTATTTGCCCGGCCCGCCTGGAACTAGTTAAGGGTCGTTGGAGAGATTTGTGGTTCGATCTTGATCTATTTACATTCTTTTTCTCCTCAGAACTATTCTCATCTCCTCAATATGGACGTCACAGAATGGCGTAGAGCGTGTGGTGGACAATAGACAGACCAGTAGCCTACGCGCACAATGAGTCATACGGCCGTGAAACCACTGAGGCCGTTGGGTAACTCAGCCCATTCAAGTGCTCTCCACAATGGGGAGACCACGCAGTCGTCTCAATCTCAGAAATACAATAATGTTAGCCAAAGTGCCATACCTACCCCTGTTATCAAAACCCAGACGGTTCCTTCAAAAAACCGGCAAACGACAGCGACAGTACCGCGAGCCAGTCCTCTCCAACTCCAAGGCTTGGCGGAGAAACCAAAGAAGAGCCCGCGCTGGAGCGATGAGGCAACCTCGCCCTCCCCTGCTGGGATTGAAAACAGAGATCCGGAACTGCTCTCCCCTCGTAAAGATAAATACGTCCCCGCCGCAACGCCTCTCGCCCCACCTGTCTCTCCCGTATCTTCTTACCTCTACGATCAGAAATCGGTTGGCCACAGAGACGCGAATTCATCCCGAAGTCCACTGAGCCACCTTGAACTTGAAGACGACGAGGTTTATGGAAGAACTCCGAACCGACCCCGCAGTGGTTCAGTCCCCAGTAGGTCCAGCAGCCGACAGAGCAGATACCACGGAGACTGCACGCCCCGGGAAGATCCCGATTTAATCATCGGCAGCAGAAGTCGTCGAGATCGTTTGCTCGGCAAAGCGCGGGAGAAAGAGGAAGCAAATCGCCGCAGACGTCGTCCTAGCAGTTTGGTGAGCGGCACGTCTTTGTTGAGTAGAAGGGAGAGTATTCTCAACATCGTCTACACCGGTGGCCGGGAAGAGCAGAAAGAAGACAAAAGTCGTTTCGGGTATTTCCGTTCACAGTCCGTCCTCAGTAGAATGACTCCGCTCCTGCTGCAGGGCGAGGATGTTCTACCGGGAGAATACATGGTGGTCGAGGAGGATGATTACAGTACCTCCAAGGGATCTCGAAGGTCAGTTCAAATACTTTCTTTTTTTTTATCAATCAGTTTGAGTGCAGTGTTGAACCCATGGTTTTTAAATATATTTACAGACTTCTTCAGAATATTTTAGAGATTGTTTGCCCCTCCTCCCTCCTCCTCCCTCTCTTTGTCCCTCTCTTTTGCTCTCCCCACCTCTCTTTCTCTATCTGAGTCTCCGTCTCTCTCTATCTCATATACACACACAGTTAAACACGCACAGAACGCACGCATATGCTGACACGCAAATACACATCCACACATCTACAAACACACACACACACACACACACA